ATTCCAATTTGCATGAATAATAAACTGCAGGACTTTGTGAGAATTAACAGTAACTGTCCAATGAAGTGAAACAATGCCTTGCAAATGTGCAAATAAAACAAATAAAAATATAAACATTGAACATAACTCCATGATTAAAATATCACAACGGCAATAAAAACAGCTACAATTATTTAGACTAATGAATATTAATATTCAATATCAAATCTCTAATTGCTAATGAAATTAAATAGGTGGGATATCTGCCACCTTACCACAGACTCTAACAAATTTTATTAGGCAAGAGAAGCCTTTATGAGTAATTACTTTCTTGAGGTCAGTTGTATATTCGACAAGTACTCCGTTACATTTCAATCTTATTGTAAGTGTTTCAGGGGCAATGTAAACGGTATCACCATGTTCGTTCAATATTCGGTAATAAAAATTGTTACCAAATATAGCAGCAGCTTCTTTTAAACTTAAATATTTGTCCACACTTGAAAACAAATTTTCATAAGTTTCCTGTTGTGTTTGTATATAAATTAATACATCTGGGTTCTGGACGCATGATGCTATTAGGGTTTGTTTGATGTTCACCTTGATGGAATGAATTAGGAGATCTTCAGCATTCTCATTCACGCTCTTCAAATCCACAACATATTCAATTGCTTTCCATTCATCGTACTTTTTGTCCCAGCCAATGTAATGCACTAAGCACAAATCGTCTTTCTGCTCAATTAAATCAAGATCAAACAATCTGAGAAATAAGAAGCAATTTATTAAAATATTGTTTAATTTGAAATGGTTCCCTATTACTTGTCCTGATACATGACCTTTTAATTCCTTGTTTTATCAGAGGTAGGTGGAAAAAATTAAAATAAAAGTATGTTTTTTTTAAGTAAATATTTTTGCCAAAAACATCCTGACGGAGGATAAAATAAAAATAAAATATTATTACGGTTAAATATGTATTAATGGGATGGGTAAATACTTTAAATTCATATCAATAGACTGAAATATATACATCTATAGGCCTATCTTATTTTTGGAGATTTCAAGGCAGCTGTGGGTGTAATAAAAAGAAAATCTTTTATTTTCCAAATATAAAATTTTGTTTATTTTAAATTTTCAATATTGGAGGGTGGCAGGTTTGCAAAACAAGGTACTGTATAAAAAGTCTGACCTAAAGATTAAATATTCAAGGATAGGGACATGATATAAGCATGTATCCCTCTAAAATTAGACCATGAATAAGCATCCAAAGTGGTGTGGGAAACCTGTATTCAAGTATTTATATATAAACAGTTTTATTAAGCATTTCTGTAATAATACATTAGTAATTATTTGAAGATAATCACCCACACCTTGCCTGTCTTTGTTTTATCAGGGAGGTTTTAAAGCCCCACCCTAGTTCTATACAACCGTTTCCCTTTTTAAACAGTACTGTTAATTTACCATTTATTTTGCAGTGCGAGATAGCGTATTACTAAAAAATTGTCTTACTCTAGCTACGTAATGTTTTTTTTCCATATTACCACTATTCAAATCTTAGTGATTTTTTTCAAAAAAATTATCCGATACAAAACTTTACAATTTCATTTCATTTAGTTTAATATTTTCAATCGAATGTAGAATAGAACAATATAGTCATTACTGAATGAAAAATACCTACTTTGTAGTGGACCACCTTTCTTGCTTGTCGTTGCGTTGTTTACTGACATTGCGTTCTGGACCATTACATAAAGCCCGGTAGTCTACTTTGTTTTTCCTAGTGTTCATTAGACTGTAGGTATCTAATAGACCGGGGGTTGAGGATCGAAAACGTTCAATTCTGTGACCCACCAATCCGGGCTACCTGGCTTTTGCACAAAAATGTCAATACTATTAAATTGTAACATAATTTGATTGTCGGCAATCGTGAATTTGGGGAAACTGTAACCAAAAATGAGAATTTATATCAAAAGTTGCTACATAACTAACAAACATAATCAGAAGACGACTAACAATGAAGTTTGGCTTAGCTGCAAGGCCCTCAGCCAATCACAAACTACCTTCTATGTCGTTTGTCCAATGTAAATAGTAAACAACACACTCCACTTGCAAGTATGGCGTTGGACATCATTCCTGATGATGACATAATTAATGTCGAAATATTGAATCCCAACACGATGGCGTGTATTTCAATACTTGGAGTATGTATTATACTTTCTTATCTGAGATTAATCAGTGGACCTTTCGGCGTTAGACAGAAGTTCTTCAAATGATAAATCTGAGCCGGTTTCAGGCATATTTTTTTAGTGATACATGTTGTAAGAACCTAGAGTATGGTTGTGTCATTAAGCGTAAACAGCTTTAGATGTGCAACTCTGTGGAAAACAACAAATACGAGTCCTCAGTAAGGCCTATTAAGTTTCCGTCGAAGCTGATGAATAGCCTACATATATAACGAAGGGAATCAGGGATGGTGGTGCAAGTACTGTAGTAGTAGTCAAAATTGCACCGAATCTGTTCAAAGGTACGTGTGTGGTTACATATAACGTTAA